GTGAGGTGAAACCCAGGAGTACCGATATGGTGGTGTAAAGTGAGGTGAAACCCAGGAATACTGATATTGTGGTGTAAAGTGGAGGTGAAACACATGAGTACCGATATGGCGGTGTAAAGTGAGGTGAAACCCAGGAGTATCGGTATGGTGGTGTAAAGTGAGGTGAAACACAGGAGTATCGATATGGCGGTGTAAAGTGAGGTGAAACCCAGGAGTATCGATATGGTGGGGTAAGGTGAAGTGAAACACATGAGTACCGATATGGCGGTGTAAAGTGAGATGAAACACAGGAGTATCGATATGGTGGTGTAAAGTGAGGTGAAACACATGAGTACCGATATGGCAGGGTAAGCTTAGGTGAAACCCAGGAGTACTGATATGGCGGTGTAAAGTGAGGTAAAACACATAAGTACCGATATGGTGGTGTAAAGTGAGGTGAAACCCATAAATACCGATATTGCAGGGTAAGGTGAGGTGAAACCCAGGAGTATCAACATATCGATGTAAAGTGTAGTGAAACCCAGGAGTATCGATATGGCGGGGTAAGGTGAGGTGAAACACATGAGTACCGATGTGGTGGTGTAAAGTGAGGTGAAACACATGAGTACCGATATGGCGGTGTAAAGTGAGGTGAAACCCATAAATACCGGTATGGCAGGGTAAGGTGAGGTGAAACCCAGGAGTTCCGACATATCGGTGTAAAGTGTAGTGAAACGCAGGAGTATCGATATGACGGGGTAAGGTGAGGTGAAATACATGAGTACCGATAAGGTGGTGTAAATTGAGGTGAAACACATGAGTACTGATATGGCAGGGTAAGGTGAGGTGAAACCCAGGAGTACCGACATATCGGTGTAAAGAGTAGTGAAACCCAGGAGTATCGATATGGTGGTGTAAATTGAGATGAAATCCAGGAGTACCGATATGGCGAGGTAAGGTAAGATGATGAAACCCATGAGTACAGATATGGCAGGGTAAGCTGAGGTGAAACCCAGAAGTATCGATATGGCGGTGTAAAGTGAGGTGAAACACATGAGTACCGATATGGTGGTGTAAAGTGAGGTGAAACCCATAAATACTGATATTGCAGGGTAAGGTGAGGTGAAACCCAGGAGTACCGACATATCGATGTAAAGTGTAGTGAAACCCAGGAGTATCGATATGGCGGGGTAAGGTGAGGTGAAACACATGAGTACCGATATAGTGGTGTAAAGTGAGGTGAAACCTATAAATACCGATATGGCAGGGTAAGGTGAGGTGAAACCCAGGAGTACCGACATATCAGTTTAAAGTGTAGTGAAACCAAGGAATATCGATATGGCGGGGTAAGGTGAGGTGAAACACATGAGTACCGATATGGTGGTGTAAATTGAGGTGAAACACATGAGTACTGATATGGCAGGGTAAGGTGAGGTGAAACCCAGGAGTACTGATATGGCGGTGTAAAGTGAGGTGAAACACATGAGTACTGATATGGTGGTGTAAAGTGAGGTGAAACCCAGGAGTACCGATATGGTGGTGTAAAGTGAGGTGAAACCCAGGAATACTGATATTGTGGTGTAAAGTGAGGTGAAACCCAGAAGTACCGATATGGGTGGTGTAAGTGATGAAACCCAGAGTACCGATATAAGGGGTAAGCTGAGGTGAAACCCAGGAGTACCGATATGGCGGTGTAAAGTGAGGTGAAACACAGGAGTACCGATATGGTGGGGTGTAAAGTGAGGTGAAACACAGGGTATCGATATGGCGGGGGTGAGGTGTAAAGTGAGATGGTGAAAGGCTGAAACATGAGTACCGATATGGCGGTGTAAAGTGAGGTGAAACACAGAGTACCGATATGGCGGGGTAAAAGTGAGATGGAAACACATGAGTATCGATATGGTGGGGTAAAGGTGAGGTGAAACACATGAGTACCGATATGGCGGTGTAAGTGAGATGGAACACAGGAGTACGATATGGTGGGGTACGGTGAGGTGAAACACATGAGTACCGATATGGTGGTGTAAAGTGAGGTGAAACACAGGAGTACCGATATGGTGGTGTAAAGTGAGGTGAAACCCAGGAGTACTGATATGGTGGTGTAAAGTGAGGTGAAACCCAGAAGTACCGATATGGTGGTGTAAAGTGAGGTGAAACCCAGGAGTACCGATATGGCGGTGTAAAGTGAGGCAGGGGTGAAACCAATGAGGTACCGATATGAAACACATAGAGTACCGATATGGCGGTGATGTAAAGTGAGGGGAATGAAAACACAGGAGTACCGATATGGTGGTGTAAAGTGAGGTTAAACACAGGAGTATCGATATGGGCAGGGTGGTGGTGTAAAGTGAGGTGAAACCAGATATGAATACCGACATGGCGGTGTAAAAGTTGAGGTATAACCCACAGAATGAAACCCAGCGGGATATGGCGTGGTGTAAAATTGTGAAAGTGAGGGCCAAGGAATGAAACCCAGAGTACCGATTATGAGTACTGATATGGCGATATGGTGGGGTAAAGGTGAGGTGAAACACATGAGTACCGATATGGCCAGGTTAAAGTGAGAGTGAAAAACACAGAAAGGTGAGGTTAAACACAGGAATATCGATATGGTGTGGTATAAAGAACGGTGAAACCGCGAGAGTATAGCGGTGTAAACTTAGGTATAACACAGTATATGGCGGTGGTGAGTGTAGGTGGTGAAACACATGAGTGACACATGAGTACGATAAGGTGGTGTAAAGTGAGGTGAAACACATGAGTACCGATATGGCAGGGTAAGCTTAGGTGAAACCCAGGAGTACTGATATGGCGGTGTAAAGTGAGGTGAAACCCATAAATACCGATATTGCAGGGTAAGGTGAGGTGAAACACATGAGTACCGATATGGTGGTGTAAAGTGAGGTGAAACCCATAAATACTGATATTGCAGGGTAAGGTGAGGTGAAACCCAGGAGTACCAACATATCGATGTAAAGTGTAGTGAAACGCAGGAGTATCGATATGGCGGGGCAAGGTGAGGTGAAACACATGAGTACCGATATGGCGGTGTAAAGTGAGGTGAAACCTATAAATACCGATATGGCAGGGTAAGGTGAGGTGAAACCCAGGAGTACCGACATATCAGTGTAAAGTGTAGTGAAACCAAGGAATATCGATATGGCGGGGTAAGGTGAGGTGAAACACATGAGTACCGATATGGTGGTGTAAATTGAGGTGAAACACATGAGTACTGATATGGCAGGGTAAGGTGAGGTGAAACCCAGGAATACCGACATATCAGTGTAAAGAGTAGTGAAACCCAGGAGTATCGATATGGCGGGGTAAGGTGAGGTGAAACACATGAGTACCGATATGGTGGTGTAAATTGAGATGAAATCCAGGAGTACCAATAAGGCGAGGCAAGGTAAGATAATGAAACCCATGAGTACCGATATGGCAGGGTAAGGTGAGGTGAAACCCAGGAGTCCCGATGTGGCGAGGTAAGGTGAGATGAAACCCTGGATCACCTGAGCGGCAGGGTGAGGTAAGACTAGGTGTACCACCTTGGCATGGTACATGGTGAATCAGGGAGTACCAGTTGGGTGAGGTGAGGATCAACAGACGGTCATAATGCCTGATAACATACCGGTGATTGGCGGATTCTGGTGCGTCTGAGAGACGAAGCTTTGAATGGGGAATTGGCATGCCTAAGACAACATGACCAACCGTGCCGTTTGCAAAAATAACTTACTGATTATTGCACATATTAATTAACAACTTGAAGGGTTTATATTTATCTGCTCTAAAGGGTTAAGGGCGGTAGGGTGGCCTAGTGGTTAAAGCGTTCGCTCATCACGCCGAAGACCCGGGTTCGATTCCCCACGTGGGTACAATGTGTGAATGCCATTTCTGGTGTCCTCCGCCGTGATATAGCTGGAATATTGTTAAAAGCGGCGTAAAACTGAATTCACTCACTCTAAAGGGTTAAACATCTCGTAATTTCCTTCATTCGAAGAGTTTTCATAGAGTGTTGAAACAGATATGTTGCTATGTGGATATCGCTGTAACGTACGTCTATGTAGGCCACTGGCGAAACTGGCTATATAATAGTTATAGAACGCGTCAGTCAGTGTCTGGGCCTCTTCTGGTGGGGTCACGTCAAGGTCAAGTCGACCCACACACCGCTCCAGTAAACAAATATTTCCCGTACTTGAGCCTTTGATATTTATCCTAATGTCAGAGGTTGGTGTAGACCAGGGTCCAGATCGTGGCCAGTGGCTGCCCCTTCTTAAAGTCCAGATGTGCACATTTCGACACTCCTTGGGGCGTACGTAGTCACAGATACTGAGTAGCGTTAACGATATAAAAAGTCTTTTTACAGGTGATTGTGCCCTTGAACCGATTTGTTTACCTGTGTAAGGTCACCTATTCGTGAGCCATATGTCTGGACAATGGGGACACACGTGAAGTAGATACGGCGAATAACCGAGTACTATTGCCAATACAATGTAATTAGCCACGTGAAAGTTGGAAATAATGCTGTGGCAGAATGAAGCTGGTGACTCTTCATGCTCTGTAAGCTTCCATGAGGGTGGTCATTTTTATAGACAATACTGCCGGCGATTGACGTGGGGATCGGCGTGCATTGGACGTTGTGAAGGGGGTGAGGGTTCATTGAAAACGGCCAAGGAACACGTGCGGACTATATTCAGCTACCTGTGCAGGTGAAGTGGAATTCAATTCAATTGCGTGAAGTGGAATAGGATTGGTCTTTGTTAATGGGGCATGCATCTATTTACGAAGCCGAAGTACAATCTGTGACGGGTTTAGATGGTTTAGGTGCATGGTGTCATCACTGGATATTGTACAGGACATAAACTGGGGCAGTGTGAGGGACAGGGTGAGGGGCAGGGTAGGGTGTGGTGCGACCAGGATGTGGAGCAGGGAGGGGTGTGGTGACAGCTATGGGACAGAGGGGGGAGCATGGAGATGTGATGATTTTGGTGCAGAGTATGCAGCGAAGAGAGTGTGTGAGGCAGCTAGGGGCATGGAGACAGGGTGTGGGACAGGCGGGGAGGGGTGTGGAACAGGCGAGGAGGGGAGTGAAGACATGGTGTGGAACTAGCGGGGAGGGGTGTGGAGACAGACGGGGAGGGGCGTGGGAGACAGGCGGGGGGGGGTGTGGGAGCAGGGTGTGGGGACAGGTGGGGAGGGTGCGGAGACGGGGTGTGGGACAGGTGGGGAGGGATATGGAAACAGGGTGTGGGACAGGCAGGGAAGGGTGCGGAGGCAGGGTGTGGGACAGGCGGGGAGGGTGTGGGAGACAGGCGGGGAGGGTGCGGAGACAGGGTGTGGGACAAGCGGGGAGGGGTACGGAGACAGGCGGGGAGAGGTGTGGAGACAGGGTGTGGGACAGGTGCGGAGGGTGCGGAGACGGGGTGTAGGACAGGTGGGGATGGATATGGAGACAGGGTGTGGGACAGGCAGGGAAGGGTGCGGAGGCAGGGTGTGGGAGAGGGTGTGAGGCAGTCAGGGAGGTGTGTTGGACGGGGAGATATGAATGGGACTGTGGTCACGGGGTTGGGCATCGACAGGTGCAGGATGTGTGGTAGGGTGTGACTGGGTGTGAGGCAGGGTGTGTAATTGGGAGAATTTGGAGACAGGGCTCAGTGTCGAAATATTGTATGGTTGGAAGGGGCGGGAAGGGTGGTGGGGAACGAGTGTGGTTGGGGTAGCGACAGACGTCAGGAATGTGATTGCTCTATATCATGGCCGTCTATCTACCCGCAAGCAGTGGTGACCAGATGCACCAAATCCCAGAGCGAGTAAACAAACAACGCTCGTCAGAAACACAAACACCGTATGACAGCCTTACAATGCATGTCAAAAACATCATTTGTGGAGCCTGTGTCGATCATCTGATGACAGGGCAGATGCGTCAAGGGACAAAATACCTGCTGAATAGACGCTCTAGAAACACACTCAGTGTAAACAGGCAGTTGTATTGGGGCGATATTGGTTTATCTCACTCTCAACACAGAGAGTGTGCCGGGTGACAATGTATATGGGCGATATTGGTTTATCTCACTCTCAACACAGAGAGTGTGCCGGGTGACAATGTATATGGGCGATATTGGCATATCTCACTCTCAACACAGAGAGTGTGCCGGGTGACAATGTATATGGGCGATATTGGTTTATCTCACTCTCAACACAGAGTATGCCGGGTGACAATGTATATGGGCGATATTGGTATATCTCACTCTCAACACAGAGAGTATGCCGGGTGACAATGTATATGTGCGATATTGGTATATCTCACTCTCAACACAGAGAGTGTGCCGGGTGACAATGTATTGGGGCGATATTGGTAACCGGGTGACAATGGCCAGGACATAGGGAAAGAAATAGGCCGAAAATGCGAAAATGGCAGTGATATTGAATATTAAAGCTTATAACGTCTGAACACAGTACCCTCACTTTGGGGAATAGTGTTGAAGAAAGCTAGGAAAAAAACTAGTTTCACATAATTCACAGCGACATGACACGTGTCAAATTGCGTACTACTTACTGCGTTTGAAAATGATGTGCTATTTCAAACTTTTCAAACTATTTCAGTCTTACTAATTGAACAACTGTTAGATAGTTTCCTCTAGTAACACATGCACCATTTATTCAATCAAATGTAAGGTTCTGAGATAAAGTCAGTTCCCTGACTCGAAGTTATTAAGCTACAAATGTTGCCGATCAGCGGATGTAGGTGTGGCAGCAGGGGTTACAGGCCGGTTCAGGTCTGTCATAGGGACAGTTGGAAGAGTCGGCTGGGAGAGGTGGGGGTTGCTAGGGTTGGGGTAAGGGAGAGTTAGCTAGGAGAGGAGGGGGTTCGGTAGGGTTGGGGTAAGGGAGAGGTGGGGTTGGGGTAGGGTTGGGGTGAGGGAGAGTTGGCTGGGAGAGGCGGTGGTGGTAGAATTGGAGTGAGGGAGAATTGGCTTTGAGAGGTGGGGTTGGTAGGGTTGGGGTGAGGCAGAGTTGGCTTTGAGAGGTGGGGGTGGTAGGGTTTGGAGTGAGGGAGTGTTGGCTGGAAGAGGTGGGGTGGGGTAGGGTTGGGGTGAGGGAGAGTTGGCTGGGAGAGGTGGGGGTGGGGTAGGGCTGGGGTGAGGGAGAGTTGTCTGGGAGAAGTGGGGGTTGGGGTAGGTGGGGGTGAGGGAGAGTTGGATGTCTACAGTTTTGTTTGTGATAGTCATTGAATAATCGTTCTTTAAAGTGTCTGTGTAAGTATGAAAATTGCTCATCCTCTGACTTGACCCCGGAGCTTCGGCATCAACAAGGGAGATAATTCCCGAATGAACTCCCAGAATGTGCTGGAGAGGATCATTGTTGTGTTATCTCTGCCGTGTCTTGCAATATCCGTTCATTAATGTAGAAAGCTTGCCATCTGTTTCGCAATTGTCCTTAGAACAGTTTGTGCTCTTATATTAACAGTTCGATTAAATTAAAACATGTTTGAAAAACCTGCTTGGGGAAGAAAAAAAAAGAAAGAAAAAAGTGTTTATGAACCTTTTTCTAACATTTTACATTGTAGCTGTCTTATGAGGTTCGTCAGACCACTAGGATTCTGCTAGCACTCTTTGGGGGCAGCATTGATTGCAATATACTATATCTACAGGATTATTGTTCTCACACTTTGAGGGCAGCATGAAGTTTCGAATCTAAAGGATTTTGTTAGCACTCTTTGGGGTCAGCATTGATTGGGGTCAGCATACTATATATACAGGAATGTGTTAAGGCACTTTGGGGTCAGCAATGATTGTAATATACTCTATATGTCACATTATATATTGTCAGCACACTTTGGGGTCAGCAATGATTGCAATATACTAGTACTCTATATGTCTACATTATATTGTCAACACACTCTGGGGTCAGCAATGATTGTACTATACAATATCTGCATTATATTCATAGCACCGTATGAGGTCATCGTGAATTTCAGTGAATTTTGTTAGCATACAGGATTGTAATATACAAGATATACCTTATATAGTCAGTACACTTTGGGGTCAACAAGGATTGTAATATACAAGATCTACGTTATATAGTCAGTACACATTGGTGTCAGCAAGTATTGTAATATACAAGATCTACCTTATATAGTCAGTACACTTTGGAGTCAGCAAGGATTGTACTATACAAGATCTACCTTATATAGTCAGTACACATTGGTGTCAGCAAGTATTGTAATATACAAGATCTGCCTTATATAGTCAGTACACTTTGGAGTCAGCAAGGATTGTAATATACAAGATCTACCTTATATAGTCAGTACACTTTGAGGTCAGCAAGGATTGTAATATACAAGATCTACCTTATATAGTCAGTACACTTTGGGGTCAACAAGGATTGTAATATACAAGATCTACCTTATATAGTCAGTACACTTTGAGGTCATCAAGGATTGTAATATACAAGATCTACCTTATATAGTCAGTACACTTTGGGGTCAGCAAGGATTGTAATATACAAGATATACCTTATATAGTCAGTACACTTTGAGGTCATCAAGGATTGTAATATACAAGATCTACCTTATATGGTCAGTACACTTTGGGGTCAGCAAGGATTGTAATATACAAGATCTACCTTATATAGTCAGTACACTTTGGGGTCAGCAAGTATTGTACTATACAAGATATACCTTATATAGTTAGTACACTTTGGGGTCAGCAAGGATTGTAATATACAAGATATACCTTATATAGTCAGTACACATTGGTGTCAGCAAGTATTGTACTATACAAGATCTACCTTATATAGTCAGTACACTTTGGGGTCAGCAAGGATTGTAATATACAAGATCTACCTTATATAGTCAGTACACTTTGAGGTCATCAAGGATTGTAATATACAAGATCTACCTTATATAGTCAGTACACTTTGGAGTCAGCAAGGATTGTACTATACAAGATCTACCTTATATAGTCAGTACACATTGGTGTCAGCAAGTATTGTAATATACAAGATCTGCCTTATATAGTCAGTACACTTTGGAGTCAGCAAGGATTGTAATATACAAGATCTACCTTATATAGTCAGTACACTTTGAGGTCAGCAAGGATTGTAATATACAAGATCTACCTTATATAGTCAGTACACTTTGGGGTCAACAAGGATTGTAATATACAAGATCTACCTTATATAGTCAGTACACTTTGAGGTCATCAAGGATTGTAATATACAAGATCTACCTTATATGGTCAGTACACTTTGGGGTCAGCAAGGATTGTAATATACAAGATCTACCTTATATAGTCAGTACACTTTGGGGTCAGCAAGTATTGTAATATACAAGATCTACCTTATATAGTCAGTACACTTTGAGGTCATCAAGGATTGTAATATACAAGATCTACCTTATATGGTCAGTACACTTTGGGGTCAGCAAGGATTGTAATATACAAGATCTACCTTATATAGTCAGTACACTTTGGGGTCAGCAAGTATTGTACTATACAAGATATACCTTATATAGTTAGTACACTTTGGGGTCAGCAAGGATTGTAATATACAAGATATACCTTATATAGTCAGTACACTTTGGGGTCAGCAAGGATTGTAATATACAAGATCTACCTTATATAGTCAGTACACTTTGAGGTCAGCAAGGATTGTAATATACAAGATCTACCTTATATAGTCAGTACACTTTGGGGTCAACAAGGATTGTAATATACAAGATCTACCTTATATAGTCAGTACACTTTGAGGTCATCAAGGATTGTAATATACAAGATCTACCTTATATGGTCAGTACACTTTGGGGTCAGCAAGGATTGTAATATACAAGATCTACCTTATATAGTCAGTACACATTGGTGTCAGCAAGTATTGTACTATACAAGATCTACCTTATATAGTCAGTACACTTTGGGGTCAGCAAGGATTGTAATATACAAGATCTACCTTATATAGTCAGTACACTTTGAGGTCATCAAGGATTGTAATATACAAGATATACCTTATATAGTCAGTACACTTTGGGGTCAGCAAGGATTGTAATATACAAGATCTACCTTATATAGTCAGTACACTTTGGGGTCAACAAGGATTGTAATATACAAGATCTACCTTATATAGTCAGTACACTTTGGGGTCAGCAAGGATTGTAATATACAAGATCTACCTTATATAGTCAGTACACTTTGAGGTCAGCAAGGATTGTACTATACAAGATCTGCCTTATATAGTCAGTACACTTTGGGTTCAGCAAGGATTGTAATATACAAGATCTACCTTATATAGTCAGTACACTTTGGTGTCAGCAAGTATTGTAATATACAAGATCTACCTTATATAGTTAGTACACTTTGGGGTCAGCAAGGATTGTAATATACAAGATCTACCTTATATAGTCAGTACACTTTGGTGTCAGCAAGTATTGTACTATACAAGATCTACCTTATGTAGTTAGTACGCTTTGGGGTCAGCAAGGATTGTAATATACAAGATCTACCTTATATAGTCAGTACACTTTCGTGTCAGCAAGTATTGTACTATACAAGATCAGAGACCATCCCTCTATTATATGGTC